CGGCCGGGGGCCGTACCCCGCTGGAATGCACCCCTCCGGGATGCACCTCGCCTTGCCCCTCAGGAAAGGGAGATCGGGAAAGGGCACATCGAGCTGTCGAGAGGGGGATGCGGCAGCATCGATGGTGATGGAAATAAAGCACATGGTGGTGTGGGTGGCTAGGTGTATAATTAGCAGGTTTGGTCTCTCTCGGCATCCCTTTTTTTAGCTGGAGACACAAACAAGTAAATAAGGTGGCTGTCAGAAGTTTCCGCAGGCTGTCCTGGGTGTGTAAGATCAAAGAGGAGGGGGGGCAGTGCAGCGGGGCTGCTCCTGGGGGCTGCCCCGGAGCTGGAGAGCAGTGGGGTGGCCATGGGGTGCCCAGCTGAGGCAAAGCAGAGAGAGTGACCTGGCCAGCAGTGTTGTACTGGGGAAGTGGACCAGGGCAGGATCAGGGATGGACAAGTTATGGAGGTGCCAACAGCCACACTGGGGTAGTCCTCTCAGCCTCAGGGCACTCCTGCTGGCTTTGCACCTAAACAACTTGCAGCCCTGCAGTGCTCTGAACAAGCCCCAGTGAGGGGCTTTAAAGGTGCCAAACAAAACTGATGGATAGCTCTCACCAGGGGCTTTTTCACTTTTCTGTTTGGGGACCCAGCAGGGTTGCCAGGAGGCAGTGGAGGTTAGGGTGATGACTTCTGGATGTAGAAGCTGGTGGGACTGTCACTCAGCATCTCCAGCCCTTTGAGGCATCAGCCCTGGGAGGCTGTTGGGCTCTGATTGCTCATGTCAGCCAGACAACACCAGCCTGGGGCCAGGGGAGAGTGAATTCCCCTGCCTGATACAGCATCTAAATCACTGTCCTGGAGAAACATGAGCTCAGACTGGGTCTGGGCTTCAACCTCCTCTTCCTCAGCTCAGGACCACCCTAAGGAAGTACCCCAGGGCTGCTGTCTGGAGAGAGGGGCATTGGCACCCTCAGTGTAAAAAGCCTACTTAGAAACATCCATGCATGTAGAGCTACTGAGAGCCAAACTAACTGACACCTGGGCTGCAATGCTTCCAGCATAGAGGCAACCCCATCCCTCACCTAAGAGCAGGCTCCCTGCTTGGGGTGCCCAAAGGGACACCAAGCATCCCACTGGAGTGCTCACAGAGGTCCCTCGAGATGTGTTTATTACCAGGACATTCTCTCTGCTGCTGAAAGACGCACAGAAGCTCTTGCTGACGGATAGTAATTTTGCTCGTGGCTGATTTTCCTATGCTAATGGTTAAAGTCCTCAATTTCACATCAGGTTTTCTCCATCACTATTTATACCCAGTATTGAACTGAATACAGTGGTTATCCTAAATGGTTCCATGCTCTTCTCCCCTGAGGTATTTTCACCCATACCCTTTGCTGCAGTCCCATCATCTCCACTTCAAGGCTCTTCTTCTGCCTGTCAAGTCCTGCAGGGCATTTGTGGCTGCTGCTACCATGGGACCCTGCATCCATCCTCCCCACTGCTTCATTCCCACAGACCACTTTGAAAGCAGTGATACTCTGCTCTGGCGCAGACCTGTGCCGCGTGCTCCTCTCCAGGACCATCCCTGCTCCCCTCAGCTCTGCAGCCCAGCCTGCCCCAGGGCCATGCCTGGGGTCTGCACTCTGGGGATGCTCTCCTTGCCATGTCCTGTCACCCAGCACAGAAGTGGTCAGGCAGATAGGACCTGGCTTTCTTCCAGGTGAGAGACCTGCACCATCTGAGACCAAAATGGGGACAGGGATGTAGTGCTTGGTTGGCAAAAGGTGTCGGGAGGGACACAGAGATGTCCTCCCCTTCACAGCTGCAGCTTGCTGATAGAGCAGCTTAGCTGCAGCACCAAACTTCATCCTCACATCTTCTTGAAAATCCCCCTCCTGTCAATCGAAGCTGGCAATGCAAAACGTCTGTTAAGGACTGCTCATTTGTCTCTGTTTAAAACATACCCATACTCAAATGATTCATTATCACCCTGAGGGCTAGCACATGCCGGCAGCCTCCTTTCCCCACTGCCCTGTTTGTTTTATCCACGTCTGCCTGCCTTAAACTCAGGGCTATTTCCACCTTGCTTACTGCATTCTGATTCTCCAGAGGATTCACAAGGCTCCTCTGTAGTTCAGATGTTTAATTCATTTGCCAATGATCTGCTCTCTCTTTAAAAATGAACTTATGCTGTGGAGATGACACCTTTGCAGCTTATTTTTCAAACCCTAAGTTCCAAACACAGTGTGTATTTATCAGCAGTAAGCTGATCTCCTGGTCCAGAAAATAAGTGAATTGCTGTCTTCCCATCTGGCCAACATCTGCAGACTCAGACAAACTTCTGAGGAGTTAAATTATTACTCAGGTCAAAAGGTGCAATCCAAACCAAATGTTTAGAGCCTCTTTCATATTTGTTATTACCAAAGAATACTCAAGTGAAGATGTGCCCTTTGTGTTTGAGGAGGGGCAGTTCACACTGATTTATTCGGTTGTCAGGAATATGGTGAGAGGAAAGGCCACAGCTGCCCTCAGCCATCCCACAACCCTTGTTCATCCTGCAGTACCAGAGCCCAGGATCATGCAGTGCTAAATTTTCTTCTATACAGTGTGGAAAGAGATGTTGCAAAACAATGTCACATCTCCTTTTCCATAACACTGTTAAGTTGCCTTGCTGAGGGGGCCTCTGAGCTACTCCAATTGCTGTATAGATGCTTTCCCATTCTTCCTGGCCCATTTCTCTTCCCAGCCCATGTCACCACCTCCCTGGGACAGGACTCAGGCTGCTGCTTGCACCCATACAGAGTCATAGTGTGAAAGAGGCAGCTCTGCTCTGGGTGAGCTGCATTGTTGGTCTTACGCGGGCTAAGTGAGGGCAACCTGATCATGGTGTTCCTCTCCCTGCTGTGTGGGGACAAGCCCCAGCAACACCCTCTCGCCCTCCTCTGGAGGTTCTGGAGAGATGGAAGGATTTGCAGAGAAATCTCTGCCCAACTCAAGGCAGCACCAGTGTGGCTATTGCATGTGGCATAAAATCTCCAAGTCGGTGCACGTGTGCCTTGGGCCAATCTTTCATACCAACTGTTGAGTTTCCAGTCATATAGTCTGGAGACAACTCCGGTTTTCAAAAGATACCTGAAGTGTTTCACTCCGAAAGGAAGCTGGTTTAAGTCATGCACCACGAAAACACTGGGGATCATTGTAGCCTTCCCTTCCAGGCTGAGCAAAGTATTTGGTGTGCTTTGCTGCCTTTTTCACTTGTCAGAGAAATAGCAACAGAAAGACAATTTGGAGGAAACCTATAATGAATGTTTTTTCCCCTCTCTAATGATGTGGCTTGGCCCTTCACTCAGAAAAGTCAATCATTTGCCCATCCCTAATCTTACAAATAGAGAAATACTGGCTGAAGACCTTGCCTGAAATTACTGCCCTGAAAGCAGCAGTAGAGCTGCAGCTCCTGTGAGTGTTACCTGCCAGCCCTGGGCTCAGGTACAGGGCTTTAGAAATTAGGTAGAAAAAAGGAGAACAGGAAGAGCAGATCTTCGGGATACTTGCTGAGGTCGACGATGCTCTGGGGAAGGTGTGAATACATCACAACACATGCAGAGGGGCTGTGAAGGAGGCAGACAAACCAAAAAGGCCAGAAGTGCCCATGCCCATGCCAGGGGCCCACAGACTGCTCTGCCACAAGCTCCTGGGCCAGGCAGGATTGGCCCCTTCGAGGCTTGCTCCAGGGAGCTTGTAGGTGGCAGAGGGGCATTTTAATTGGCACATTTTTGCTGAGAGCTCGGTCACCTCTCTGCAAGTGATGGTGCTATCTGCAGACTGGGCTGAGGGCAGGGAGGGGTTAGGTACCATGCAAAAGCAGGGATCTGCTGTACAAATTCACCATGCTCGAACTGCAGCAAATTACTCATTCTTTAATAATGGTGTTTATTACCTGTCTCTGATGGTGGTTCAGGGAGACAAAGTGAAGTGGATTCAGCTCCCCAAAGCTTTAGCTCTGCCAGCCATTTTTATGACATAAGAAACTTTTGCCAGAGAAATGCAGTCACTGCATTTTGGCTTGGGTAATTCCTTCTCCTGACAGCCTACAAAGTAACCAGCAACTATCCCCCAGAGACAAAAGCTTTTTTTTTGCTTGTACGTGGCAGGCAGGCTCAGACCCCACTCCTCTGGTTTTCCCTGGTATTTATATAGTGCTACTTTTCTCCTGGGAAAAAGGTTTTTACTGGTGGCAGATCCCAAGCTCATGAAAAGGGAATTTATCTTTTTCAGAAGAAAAGCAAGCAGCCCAGTAAAGTGGGTTTGGGGAGAGCAGCATGGCTTTTGTGAAACCCGCAGCAGCTTTAGAGAAGGAATTATAAACAGGCACTGGGTAGAAAGTGCTTCTCGTTGAAACTCCTGAATGAGTGGCTTTTCCCCACAGATACAAGCTGGGAGGTCATCCGCAGGGCTACAGGGAGATGGTGCTGCTCAGGGGAGCAGCAGGGTCATTTCATTGGCGTAAGTCATGGCACCGGCAATAGCCCTCTCGACCAAGGTCCCTGGACTGTTTCTTTTCCCGGCTGCATCCCAGGGATGGCTGGCAGTGGAGTGGCTCCCGCCAGCTCCTGAGGCTTCTCATCAGAAGGAAAACAACCCCCAAACTTCAACCGGCGGCTGAGCTGCCGCCCGGGGACAGAGTCCCGATGGCTGGCTGGATCCACGGTGCCATTGCAGTTGCCCTAACATATCTGGCCTCCAGAACTTTGGCCGAAATCCTTACATTTTGCCCACTGCAGAGCCTCTGACCAGGTAATTTGTCCTGGTTTTTCCAGGTTACAGCCTTTCATCTTTACACCCCAACATATTTTCTGACCTTCTTGGGGCCAACTCGAGCCCGGCGCGGGGCTGCCCTTTCCGTGGGGACGTGCTGCCATCGCTCTGGAGCAGCCTGGGGCCGCTGGGGACGAGCTCCCGGACCGCCCGGGTGTCAGCGGGGGTGCCCCAACACGAACGCTGTGCGCGGGTCCTTACCTGCGTGTCGAGGAAGGGCTCACCCGCCAAGTTGGAGCACGGGCGGCAGAAGTGGAGCGGCGGCGGCTGGCATCACGGCGGCCGGCAGCGGCTCGGCGGCCCCGCCGCGGCCTGTGGCCGGGTGGGCGCCCGGCGGCCCTGCGGCGGCCCGGCCGCGGCCGGGGGTGCGGCGGGAGCGGCGGAGCCCCGGTCAGTGCCGGGGTGCGGCAGCGCGGAGGCACCGAGCGGGTGCTGGCGGCGAGCGGCGCCGCGCTCGGGCTGCAGCCGGACCGCGCTTCCCCTCCGCGCCCGCAGAGCCGCGCTCGCCCGCTGGTGCGATCGGCGGCTCGAGGGCTGGCTACCCGGAGCCGTGCCGCTGCTCCCGACGTGACTGCTTCTCCTGCTGCTTCATGTGGCACGGCAGAAACTCTCTCCTTTCTCTTATGCTCGCTGCATTTCCCAGGGCACAGCCCTTCCCACTCCCCCAGCAAGGGAAAGACCCAGTGCCAGCGAGCAGAGTTTAAAGGAAAAGGATAAAGGAGGTTTCTCGCTGCCCGAGCCGGTGCTGAGGGGTCAGGCAGCCCGACCTGGGGGCTGCACCCCAAGGACAGCCAGCTCGTTTGCTGGCTCAGACAGGTATTTTTCTGCCCTGATCCTTAAGGACGAGGGTGAAGGGTTGATTTGCCTCACGTACATCTGGGCATCGCTCCAGTGAGTGGAGTTAATCCGGATTTGCACCAGCACAGCAAGAGTCAACACCCCATTCTTCCGGTGCTCGCTACCCCCCCCTCCTCCTTTCGCGCCCAGGTTATGTCCCGCGTAACCCGTGCTGCTTCCTCACCATCCGGCCGCTCCCTCAGCCCTGCACTGATGCCCTGCTATTCCTAAACTCCCTAGGTGCCCCCCCAGCGGCTCCCCCTACCTCAGGAGCACCCAGCATCGAAACGACTCTTAGCAGATACACACACACGTGAAGCCTGGTCCAGCAAGGGGCAGAGAGCTGCCTGCCTTCACCCATCCCCAGTGCTGCTTTGCCAGGAGCAGACCATGACCACCAGACCCAGAGCCACCCGTGTCCACCATCCTTACTACCCAACAGTCACCCTTTGCAGCCCACACTGGGGCTCCCTTGGGACTACACTGTGGCTTCTCAGCACAGTGTGCCTTTCTGAAGGTCCAGGCTTGTTTCTAACACCTCCCAGCTTCTTCCAGGTGCTGAACTGACAGCTGATGGACTATGTACCAGGGCAGTTGGGTCTCAAGGTCCCATTCCCAGAGGAGCTGGAGGCTCTGGCTAGGGAAGGCTAAGGCAGCCTTCCTTGTGCTTCAGTTCTCAGATAGCTGCACATCTTTCCAGTAGCAGCAGAGATCCTTCTGCAGAGCTTAAGGGGCTGGATTACCTGGGCTAATGACATTACTGAAATGCCTGTGTTCCTCAGAGAAGCAGTGACAGGTGGCCAACTTTCCATCCCTGAGGGCAATCTGTGTCCCACATCCCCCAGCAGGCCTGGGAAGGATTTGAGCCTAGAATGCCAGCCCCAGGCTGGGGGCCTCAGCAGGGAGGCTGTCTTCCAGCATATCAGCCAGACCACAGAGCTGCTGCTATGAACAGAGCGATCCTCAGGGAAAACATGTCCCTGTTGGCCAGACACAGCCAACAGAGTTTGGGGGTGTCTAAGAAGGGAATAGTCTGCCCCCATGTCCCTAGGCAGTGGGACAGACAGGAAAGGGCTTGGGATGCAGCAAAGGAGGTTTGGCAACTCTACCCATCTGAGATCTGTCAGTCCATATCATATGCATACTTTCGAAGTGGCCTCAGCATGTGACTTGGGACAGAGGGACAGAGCAGATGACTAGTAGTGGTTCCTCCAGCTCTGATGACTCCAACTTAGCCAAAGTCCCAGTGAGTGTGAAGCAAATTCCTGGCCATGCACAACTCAGGATGTTGTGTGGATGTGGGGGGGAGCTGCAGCCCTGTAAGGAAACAGAGGAGGCAGTGGGACTTGCTGTTGCATGGGTGAGAAAAAAGAGGTTTGGTGGCAACCACCTTCCCCTAGTGAAAGTCCCCATAAGGGTCCTGCTCATGTCCCTCGGAGCTCATGGGAACGTGGTCACCACTGGCTGCTTGCTTCCCGGTCTGTTTTTTGCCTCAGTTATGAGATCCCATAAAGCCCTGTCCAGCCAACATGTGGTAATTAAAGGCAAACAGAGAGGCCATATTCCACATGGACAGCATCTTGGAGGGGCTGTTGAGGTGAAGGGAACCAAGATATGGGCTCAAAACCCTTCTCTCGGTGTCATGGGGGAGCCTGAAAGAAAAACTCAGTTGCTGGATGAAACATCTTCATCCATGCCTTGCCAAGGTCCAGAGAGCTGCCTTAGGTTTACCCCAGGCCAAGGTGCCAAGCAGAAGGCAAGCAGGCAATCAGGGAGAATAGCTCACAGAGGCAGCACTGGTGACCACCAGCTGTGGTCATGTCCACCACAGCTGCCCCTGCACAGTCCTGGCCAGCTCCTGTCAGCCTGGGGCAGCTATTCCATCCTTCGCCAGAGCCACACATATCTCTGGATTAATGTGCAGGCACTGAGATTGTCTGTCGGGGCAGGGGATTTAGCCCTCACCAACTTTTACAGATATACTGCTTAGCAGCAGAGCTGCAGCACTGTTTCTCCTGCTTTAACAACGATAAGGCAACATTAGCATCCCAAATCAAGGTCTCTCAACCTTGAGTGGCTTGGAGATAAATGTATGCATGCATAGATTGTAGCATGCATGTACATGCTAGTGCTTATCGAGGTATGGTGAAAACCAGCCTAAGCAATATGGTTTGGGGCTTTGCTTTTATAACCACAGCCATTCAGTCCAGATTAGAGACAGGCAGTGTACCTGGAAGGTGACATGAGGCAAAAGGCTGTATGACCTAGAAGAGTCAGTCAGAGATAAAACACCTCTGGGGCGCTGAGGATAAGCTGCCAGTTGGAAACTTTCCTGCCCAGAAAAGGAAAAGGGACAGACTTTGAAGGGAGTGTAGCAAAATGCACAGAGCTTCCCCCTCCACTGAAACTTCTTGTTGTATTTATGCATCCACTGGGATGAATGAAATGAAAATGGATATCAAAATGGCCCTTTGCTCTCAGCTGCAAGGGAGAGTCTGGTGAGAACCCATCCAGCAGAAGGAAATGAGATCTCATTACATTAAATATTAGCTGATGTGCTATCCCACTGGACTTGTTATACCAGCCAAATGATGCCCCTCTTCAAAAAATAATTAGAAAAAATGTTCCGGAGACATAAAATACAGGAGGAAAAGGCTATACTTGTGTTTCAGGCCTGCCTGGCGTGGGAAGGCGGGGTTTTGTTTTTGATTATGTTCTCTCAAACATTAAAATCTGCCTGCCAATACGTCCTGAGCTTCACATGCTTCATTTAACTACAGACATAGCAACAGATAAATATGCCATGACAAATTTGGTAACACTACTTTATTGACAGCCAAAAAAACCCCCAGATCACTCAAGACTATAAGCCTGAACTCCTGCCAAACAATCACAAGTGTAGAGCTGAGATAAAAAAATTCGTGCCAGAAAGGGACAGACACTACTAAAACACCCAATAACTGGAAGGCCTCTGCAAAGGTGAGGGATCAGCTGCAGAGCATTCTCAAAGAAACAGAAGCAGAGAGTGGAGACACAATGAAAGGGAAGCAAACTGCACTTGAGATGACTGGTCACTGCTGCTCAGGTGACTGCATCAGCGGGACCAGAGAACATCAGGCAGGACCTGCTTGTCAGAGGCACTTGGTGCACCTTATGCTGGCAAGTGGAGTGATTTGAAGTACTTATTTATGATGACTGGAGGGAGCACTGAACAGATTAAAGTTATATTTGCAGCTATTAAAAATGATCAGATTAGTGAAATCTAGAGATGAGAGGGAAGCTTCAGAGGGATCAGACAAACCTAATTAATTGGGCAGCATGATGGGAGAAGAAATTAAGCATGGTCAAGGAGAAGGTAAAACATATTGGAAGGAACGACTTCAATGCTTCATAATCACTACTGATTTCTAAATTAACTGGAAGCATGAAGGCAAAAAGACTATGTGGGTGTATCTGTGGACAATAGAGCAAAAACCATCTGGTTAATGTACAGTGGTGAGGAAAAAAACCCCAACATACGGCCAGATTGCTTTCATAGAGGGATACAGAAAATAATAAAAATATTACAGTACTGTGTTGGTAATGACTCAGCTGTTATAGATAAGTTGAGGGTTTTCAATTATAAGAGAGATTCAGATGGCTTATCGTGAAAAATACAGTTAAAAAGAAAAAAAAAGTCTTCTGTAAAAGTGAAGCACTAAGCCCTGGAGCACAGAATGAAGTTTTTAAGTGTTTATGAGGAAATCTGGCCATTTAGGAGACAGCAGTAAGTAAAGCATAATTTGCAGGTCCCTTACAAAACTTAGCACCCAGCATCAGATTTTGTCTGATTTGATATGATTAGCACCTGATAACACAGATTACTCCAACTTCCTGTGTAGCTAAAGCTCCTGAGAAGCCTGCATCTGCAATATATTTGAATAGCATCCTTCTGGCATTAGTGTAATTTTCTTCCTTCTTAGTAAACATCAGCTTCTGAGGAGGATGAAAACTAAAACTCTCCAGTGCAGTAAAATCCACAGGGAATCCCTTCCTATCCCTCCCTTGCTCCCCATCACCCATGGCCCCCACAGTGTCTTGTGTGGCCATGTCAAAGAGAGGCCCTTCTCCCCCTTGTCAGTGGTGCTGGAGCAATATTCAGTTGCCGGGCACTTTTCTTTGGCACACGATGGATGGGGGAAGGAGGTACTTTTGGAAAGCTGTTCTGAGCACCTGAATTCTGCAGTAATTAAGCTTCCAATTGACATGCTGTGGGTAGACATTCAGTGTGACCTTTTCCTCAACTATGAAGTCTTGTTGGATGCCTAAAGTATGCAGCAACATCTCCAGCTCCCCGCAGTGTAAGAAACTCCCATCCTCCTGGACAGTTGCTTGCCATGACAGCACATGGAGGTCATTATGGAAAAGGGCAAGTCCTTATGAGGGCAAGAGACCTC